TATATATATATATATATATATATATATATATATATATATATATAAACACACTTTATCGGAAAAAAATTTATATCTTTTAAATTTGTACACCCTTAAAAAAAATTCTAATTTCGCCACTGCTCACGTCTACTACAAAACGGACAATCTGATACACAAAGGATCTCACGTTCAGGCAAGATCAGTGAAAAAATCAGACCCCAAAAGATAACGTAGACAGTCAAACTTAAAACAAATTAATAGCTTCATTTATTGCTCGAAACCCTGACCTAAAAAAATTCACAAACGAAACAAAAAGACACGAGAGAAGTACACGTTGCTCTTTGAAAGTTTCATATCTCTAAACAACAAACTGATTGAATATGGCCACAATATTCATCTGGTATGTCCACTTTGGTCCATGTCTTTTCTTTACTACTAGTACTAATATTACTCAAATGAAGTTCATAACCTCTGTGGAGTTCATCGAATCTGGCATTGCCCACGGTTAGCAACTTGCCCTGCCACGCTGTCAAATATGACACGTTAGAAATCTCAGCAGGCAATTCAGCCACGTGTCTCCACGTGGCATCACATTTTACCATCACGTCACCATCTTGGCACATGTATAATCTCCCATCATCGCCTTCTAAGCAAGTTTGAGGACACGTGTCAGCACCTAGAAAGTCCTCTTCGAGGCACCACTGCTGCGTGGCGAGATCGAACACCTCAGCGCTACGCTGGAACTGACCTTGTGCATGCGTAGGATAGCCGCCAATGACGTGGAATTTCCCTCGGTGAAATACGCACTTACACTCGTCTCGCTCCATCGCCATTTCCGGCAGCGTAACCCACTCGTCTTTTGCCACGTCATATAACAAAACCGATTTTAATGCATTTTTCCCGTCGTCATGTCCACCGGCGACTAACACAAATCTCTCAAAATCCGAACCGCATCCGAAGAACAACCTTTGATCCCCGGGCATGTCGGCCCCACGACGCCACGAACCTGATATGAAATTGTAGATAAACACAGAGTCCATAACCCGCCAATTAACCGGGTCACACCCGCCGATCACAATTAAATCCGACCCAACTCCGACAACCCGGCAAAACATGGGTAACCCCTCGACTAACTCGGGTATGGGCGGCAAATCGTACCAATTTCCTTTTTCTGGATCGTAAAGAGAGAGGCGATAGAATTGGGTAGACGAGAGAGTCGTAACACCATGAGGTTTTCTGATGGTAGTAACCATGGCTTGGGCCAAAGCAAAAACGGGTCGGGTAAAGCCCGAAGATTTTCGTCGTTGACGAAAGGCAGGGTGCTTAATCTCGTTTTTCCAATTGCTGCATACAGAAGCAGCTTTAAAGAATTGGTCGAGAGGAAGACGAATGAGACATTCAAGAGCAATATCATTGGGAAGACCCGGTAGAAGATCCATATGTGAAAAATTAAAGGAACAGAAAATGAGAGAAATTTTTGGTTTTAGGAACTCATAAGCGCAGATGTTGCTGTTACTGATGGCATGCATAAATATTAAATATTCATTCAGGATTTATAGCCTTTTTTTTTGGCTGACTTATAAAATTGACCTATTTTGAAGAGTGCTATTTAAAAAAGTAAGTTTACGTTTTGACTAATTAATTTAAAAAAAAAATTTGAGCGCTAAATTTTTAAAAAATATTTTTAAATATATATTTTTTAAAAATACTTTTCAAAAAAATATTTTTGAAAAAAATTAATTTTTTTTTTTAAAAAAAATTATTTTTACTTCTATCCAAAAGTACATTTTTTTCATTAAAAATTTTAGCCAAACGTCTTAACTTAAAAAAAAAAAAATTATGACAAAAAACACTTTTGGCGAAAAATTGAGTGTTAGAACGTGACAAATTATAGGTTTTCAATGTTCTTATGGGGCCATGAAAATAACATTAGAAAGCAGTTTTTTTTTGGGCCCCTGTCACGCCAGAAAGGACTACAAAAAGAACACAATGTCCCCTCACTGTCCAAGAGGGAGATGTAAACGAGGTCTATTCACCTTATTTACTTCATTTTTTCTCACACCCTGTTTACTTATTTGTACACATTTGTGTAATGTCCTTGGTATTTAACTAAATAAACGTATGACACTTGACAACTCACTCATGATCTTGCACAATTTGCTCGTATTTTTGCTATGCCAAGTCAGTCTTACTACACTCAAGATCGCTAAGGAATATTAGAACACAGGAGAATTGCCAAAGGAAGCTTTTGTATTAAAGAGAACTTGATTGTTTTGCTTGATGAGTTACAAATGAATAACCCCCTTTATATACTAGTTTCATAGGGTCTAGTGAGTAAATAATAATTATACACAAGACTCTTATTATTACAAGTAGGACCCTTCTCTAAAATATTCTACATAGCTAGAATCTTCTAAGGACTTTTCTAGCAATTCCATAGGGTTCTAAGGTTTTCCATGAGAAATCTCCATATTTCTCTAGAACCTTCCCACATGTGCTAGTCTATTTCATATGTAAGCTTCCACATGGCATTAATATATGTCAAATGGCACCTACGTGGCATGATGATGTGGCGGGTCATGACACTCTCCCCCACCCAATTTTGTGACGCCCTCGGCACAAAGCATCGACATGTATGCACGCACCTCGCCTTAATGTCGTCGGAGATCTTTGTCCATTAGCCATGATGCTCTATGGAGGGGTTCGTCTTCCCATGTCATAAGGTACTAGTCACCTTTCTTCTTGCCATGTTTGTACTTTGGACGGCTAGCAATGATGGCCTCGATCATCCGCCCATCGGATGCCTCTCCTTGCTCTTGGCCTGAATCTCCCTATGACTCGACCAAGTCTAGCAGCTTCTCAAGCATCGGGTACATACTTCCACTCCCTATTTAGCTGCCCTCCGTAGTCACAGCTTTACTGGCAAACTTGACCCCTCTGCTTGGTGCTTCGTCTAAGTCCAATAGCGTGCCATCACTTTGTAACTCGCCATCCGCTTCAACTATGTCTGCGCAACTTTTCTTGTTGCCACCATGCTCCATTTGCATGGCGCCAAGATAGGCTTTGGAATTCCCTTCTTTAGGCTTAGATTCCAAGTGCATTACCTCAATGCAGGTGGTTTCTCCTGTATCACTCTTATGTGCCTAAGCAAAGTTCCCGATCATTGCTGCAAGCTTCCCGAACTCTGGACCTTCACTTGCCCGATGTGATTCTTTACAGAAGTAGCAACCTTCTTTTAGGCTCGTACTCGCTATTGTTTTTCGGCCCCTTGTCATTTCTGCCCCACCCCTCTCGGCGTTGCCTTCTTTAGACTTGGCAGGCTCCATCTTGAAGTCAACGAGTGACTCGGCTACCGCTATGGCCTTGTCCACGTTTGCTACTTAATGTCTTCTTAACTCCTGATTTGCCCAATTTTGCAACCCATCCATGAAGTAGAAGAGAGAATCTTCCTCGGACAACGACGAGATTTGCAGCATTAAGGAAATGAACTCGCACACATACTCCCGAATTGTGGTCATCTGTCAAAACTCCCTTAGCTTCCGCCTAGCCTTGTACACCACATTTATCGAGTAGAATTGCTTCTTCAACTCTTTCTTGAACTGCTCCCGTGTCTCAAACTTGCATAGCCCCTTCTCCATGTCAGCACACTTTCGACGCCACCATAGGCAACCTCGGTCAAGTACATTGAGGCGGCGTTGCGTACCTTAACAACTTCTCCATCCTCCTTGACTACCTCAAAGTACTTGTCCATCCAAAGTAAGTCACCCACCTCGCGTGCGCCCCGTGCACCTTCATACTCCTTTTGCTTAAGGACCTTCACATTTGTCCCTTTTGCAAGTACCACGCCCTTGGTAATTCCGACCATGGTTCCCTACAAAGCTTCCTTCTAGCAATCTCTTGTATTCTTTCTAACATTCCTTTAGTCATAATCTGGCTCTGATACCACGTTGTCACGCCCTTAGTATTTAACTAAGTACACGTGCGGCACTTGACAACTCGCTCACGATCTTGCACAACTTGCTCACGTTCTTGCTATGCCAAGTTAGCCTTACTACACTCAAGATCGATAAGGAATGTTAGAACACGGGAGAATTGCCAAAGGAAGCTTTTATATTAAAGAGAACTTGATTGTTTTGCTTGATGAGTTACAAATGAATAACCCCATTTATATACTAGTTTCATAGGGGCTAGTGAGTAAATAATAATTATACACAAGACCCTTATTATTTACAAGTAAGTCCCTTCTCTAGAATATTCTACATAGCTAGAATCTTCTAAGGACTTTTCTAACAATTCCATAGGGTTATAAGATCTTACATGAGAAATCTCCATATTTTTCTAGAACCTTCCCATATGTGCTAGTCTATTTCATATGTAAGCTTTCACATGACATTAATATATGCCAAATGGCACCTACGTAGCATGATGATGTGGCGGGTCATGACATTTGGTCCTTAATTCGTCCAATTATGATTTGTGTCTATGCCTTGACTTCAAGTCCCGAGTAAGAAATTGCTTTGGGTATAGAACGTTTTACTTCTAAAGTGGGATTATCCGCGAATTTAAATTAATTTAAAGTCTATTGTATATCGGGTGAAAACCAAAAAAGTGACTCAAAAAGTTATTTACCCTTCTCGGTAGTAACATATAATGTAAAAAAAACTCCTTTTTTATTACCTATACATGTATTGCTTGTTGTCACCCAAGGGTTTCTAATTTATTACTTCAGTTGTTTCATTACTTGTTGTCACCCAAGGGTTTCTAATTTATTACTTCAGTTGTTTCATTACTTGTTGTCACCCAAGGGTTTCTAATTTATTACTTCAGTTGTTTCATTAGTTAATATTCCTTTTCTATATATATATGGTAAACAACCAATTAAAATGCAGGGTTTTTTAAACTCTTATGAACCAGCTCATCTCTATGTGTGATTTTTGAGATTTAAAAAGACGAGAGCTTTGTTGTTACTCTTAACTAAGGGTGGTATGGGGGACGGTTAGGTCCGAGACCGGCCCAGGACCGCAAGTCCACATAGGCGGTGGGCCTAAACGGTCCTAACCGGATAGGACCGGGACCGTGGGGTGGTGGGCCGGGTAGTGGGCCGGTCTCATAGGGGAGGCCCACGAGATCNCCGCGAGACCGGGACCGTTTGGGACCGGGACGGGCTGAGAAGTGGGCCGGTTCAAGTGGTCCTAAACAGTCCTATCCGGGGCCAACGGATAAATTTTTTTTTAAAAAAAAAAAATGACTGTTTGGCCATTTAAAAACTAGCCGTTTGGTCTGCCAAAATAGCCATTTAACCCCCCAAATTTTGTTTTAACCCCAAACT